CCCATCCTCAATGCTGGTGCCCGGATAAAAACGCCGCTTTATTTTTGAAATTGGGGAAACTCCCCATCCCTCCAGTTTATTTAAAATCTCTTCGTCAGCGAGGTAGATGGGCAGATGCATGAAGGAGACAACGTAGTCTCTGTTCTGTAATCTTTTCACTTCGCAGTTCTCTCCCTTGATAATCAGTCAATCTATTAAAAGCTCTGTGTCATCTTCGCTTTCCAATGTTATCTCGTACTCCTTTGTTTGTTTCGGTCTAACTGCCGGAATCCTCCCATCCCCGATCCACTGTGTCACTGCTTTGATGATATCTGCGGCCCTCGCGTCTTTCACGTGCGCCACATCCACAGTCACCGTTGCTTCTTTTAAATATACCCTTTTCACACTCTCCCTCCTTGTTTCTTTATCTTTTTCGTTACCATTTCCTTGTCCTTTATCCAGTCCATTGTCATTCCTCCGCCGTGCTTCCCCCGCCATTGCTGTATCAGTCACCATTGGTCCATCCATAGAGAAAAAAAAAAACTAACAAAAACCGACGCAAAAAACAAAACAAAAAACAAAGATGGTCCTCCCAAACAGCAGCCGCTGCTGGGAGGACAAACTTAAACACACAAAAAAATGTACACTGATGAAAATAAAGACATATTTATAACAAAACAAACACAGAGAGGTCTGGTGAGCCTTTCTCACCCACTGCAGCCAAACACTTCCTGTACACCAGCAACTGACTAGCGCCCTCAGGGTGGTATGGCCGTAAGCAAGGACTGCCACAAAGAGTGGTCTATTTAAAGATCAGCCGCCCTATAGGCCAGTGTATTAGATAAGTAGTGAAGAAAACGCTAAAGCTTACAGCACCTGGTATTCCCGGGCGGTCACCCATCCAAGTACTAACCAGGACCGACCCTGCTTAGCTTCTGAGATCAGAAAAGATCGGGCGCAGACAGGGTGGTATGGCCGTAAGCGGGGACTGCCACAAAGAGTGGGCTATTTAAAGATTAGCCACCCTATAGGCCAGTGTATTAGATAAGTAGTGAAGAAAATGCTAAAGCTTACAGCACCTGGTATTCCCAGGC